TTTTGATCCTATGCTACATGTTTTGGTATGAATTTGTTGTGGGTCATGGCTGCAAAAGTTGCAGCAAAAATAACTTCAGATTGCCGAACAGAAATTTTATGGTCTTGCTTCTTGAGTTTTGTCTTTCCTTTTCGGCTTTTCCGCTATGGTGTTTGTTTAGATAACGATTCCATCCCATTTCTTTTGGTTTGCTTGCCTGAATACTTTTAAACTGAATAAGGAAATGGCATGAATGTGGTTGCGGGAAAAGCTGAAGTTTATGGGCAAAATTGCAGCAGCAAACCTTGACTTGGATATGATTTGGAATGAACTTGAAACCTCATTTTTTTTCCCCTTGCTCTGTCTCTCTCACATGGTATCTTGGCCGTGAATTTTTGGAGTCTAGTGTGAGCTCGGTATTTGAATCTTTCTCCGTGTTAAAGCTTTGTTATTCGCACAAGGTTGCTGGAATTCCTCATGTTCATTGGCTGTCGAGAATCTTTCTTTCTTCTTGTTGTAGGATTGTTTACTGAGTTTGCTCATATTTTTGCTTGGTTTGTCCGACCATCTTGATGTTAGAATCCACAGGTGTCATGTTAGAAGATAGAAAGATTGTATGATAATTGGTTGGTTTATGTTTGAAAAACTGGTTTGAAGTGCCGAAACGTTTGCCCAGAATTTTCCAGCCTTTGCGTGATTTTCTTCTAAGTTTTTTTGGTTTGTTCGAATGTTGAAATGGTTGTCATGACGTCTAGATTGGTTTTGGATGTTTGGGTCTAAACATATTTGAGTTGGAACTGAATGTTTGTTGGTCACATAGAAATAGGTAGCTGGATTATTTTGCATGACAGTTTATCAAAAAAATTTGCATCAGTTTTTGGTTATGCTTTTACTTGTTTGCTGTCAAATTTTCGGACCTTGTGGCTTAGTTCCGCATTATGATCTTGGTTAACTTTTTATGTTTTAAACAAAGCCTTGGGTCTGAAATTTGCGTTTTGGAAAGGAAAGTCACAACTAGATTTGTTGCCAAAAATCCCACCCTTTACAAAAGCTTCCAAATTGCAGCAATCTTCTTCTATCTTGCATAAAGGATTCATAAGTGTTTGTATAGTTTCCATCCATGTTTTGCTTGTTAGATGTGGAACTTGATTGTTTGGTTGTTTAATCCAAAGTTTGGATAAGTGAAAAGGTTAGCTAAAGTTGTTTAGAATTTGTGTATGAATTAGAAAGGCAGCCAGCAGTTGTTAATGCCAAGAAGATGTTCATTGCAGAAAATCTTGTTTCGTACGTATGCATGCATGCCAAAGTTTTCTAACATTGCACTTTGACCCCCCAAGTCTCCCCTTGTTCCACTAGGACCCAATCAATTAAATAATTTCATCAATTTGGTCCTTGATAAATTTAATTTGTGCAACTTCATTGTTTGTTTGTTTCAATTAACTACCATGCTTTGTTTCAATTGCGCTTAAGTCATGACTTTAGGGGTTTTATGACCAAATGAGCTCGTGTTTGCCTATTTTTTTTAATTTCCCTAAATAAATTGGTTGTTTGACCTTTTCTTGGCTCTTGGGACCTTTGGAGTGCTTAAATGTTTCGATTGAATTCGAATGGTTGACTAAGGTTTGCAATTGGGTTTTTAGTTGGTAATTGGGTCCTTGGTGGGTCCTTTTCTTGAAACTTATGCATTATTTGATTTCATTTAAATTGCAATTAGGAGAGATTTGGTGACTTTGTTATACTTTACTATTTGAGGTACCTTGACCTTTTTATTATTTTGAAGCCATTTTTCTTTCATTAGGACACCATTCAAAGGGGCGGTATAATTTCTTTTCTCCCTTTTTGTGTCTCTCCTATGTGACTCAACGTGCTAAGTGAATTGCATGTCTACTTTGTTTTCCTAGCTGTGCTTTAATTCCTTTTACTTATGTCATTTACTTTTTGTTTTCATTAAGTTATTCTTTTAATGGGGTATGTGTACACCTCTTGGCTTGTAATAGATAGGGCTGTGGCGAGCAATTTGGTCCATTTTCCCCTTCCTCTTTTGTTTTAGTTAGTGAATGTAATAGGTTCATTAGCTTGGTTGCATGCCTATGTGTTACGTGTTACTTGCTTTATTAGGTTTTGCATCTAGTCAAACATGTTAAGTGCTACGTGCTACGTGTTTATGAGTATTTGGCATGTCTACTAGCTTTCCGTAGTGTAGATGAATGGAATGGATGAATGTACGTTTCCACTAGTCCAACGCTAGTCGGAATTCATAGAATGGGCTAGTCCAATGCTAGACCCTTAGGGATTTCCCCTCGTTAGTACATGTTTGCATGTTCATTACATGTCATGCATTCTTTTTAGTTTTATCATTTTGCATGCTCCTAGATTCCCCTTTCCCCTCACTTTAGGTCTTACATCTCATGCTAGTTAGGGTACATTTGCCTGAAGAGTCCTCTTTTGATAAGGGAAACGAGCGAGTGTGGCTACTCGATAGCCTTAGCACGCTAGTTTTGCTTTCTAATCAAAGGAAAAATCGAAGTCGAAAAGTTAGGAGTCATGCCCACACCCGACCTGATGCATTCCTTTAGGTTCATTCATTCTCATTTATCACTTACTCATTTTTCAATTCACATTTTCTCATCACTTTTCCTTTCCTTATTGTTCATTTTGATTTCTACTTCACAAAATTGCACTTAATTACACCTATATGCACTTATCACTATATTTCATACACTGGCACACAAACACTTGGATTTTTCATACAATTTCACACGTGCATCTTTTTATACACTTGCACACTTACACTTTAGCTATCATTTGCATTAATCGACCTCTATAAGGTTTTCCTTTATTGGCCGCCACAATTCATGTGGTTGGGACCAAAAACCTTACAAGAGACATTTTAGAATTTAGGTTTGCATTTTTTCTTTCTTTTGCATTCATGTATTGCATCCAAATGTAATAAATTCTTTGGTTAAAACAAGAAAATCTTTTGATTAAATCACGCAACTAGCCTTGGCTAGGTCGAAGGGGTGCCTTGGATTTCTATCCTTGCCTTCCCCTTCGTCAAATGTGACTCCCGAACCTTTTTCGTTGGTTTACGTGGACTAGGAGTCGTTTAAAAGGGGTTTCTTACTACTTTTTCCTATTTTCCTTTAAAAATTCATTTTTAGGTGACTTGGTACACCTTAACTCGTTACCAAGTGGCGACTCCGATTTTGATTTCAAAAAACCCTTTTTAAACTACATTTTGGGTCAAATCGTCGCATTCTCAAACCCCCATTTAGACCCATTTTTCCTTTTAAATCACAATTCATTTTCCAAATCACAAATTGAATCAAAAAACACATTGTTTTTAAAACCATTTATTTATTTATCAAAAAATGGGGCGCGACATAGTATATTGTATTTTTGACCTATTTACACTCAAAACTGGGTTGAGTGAACTTCTGTGATGTTGTAGCCCTGTTTCTTAGCTTCGAAACGGTGGGTCTTACATTTTCATCCGACAACCGTAGTGACCTTAGTGCCATTTCCGTAAAAAGAGGTCAAACATCATTTTATCAAGGTTAAAGCTAATGCCATTTCTTGATTTTCTGGTTACCTATGATGCTTGTATATGCTTGTAGAACCCTATTGGGGTTGTGATTGACATTGCTTTATGACTCGTTATCGAGTCTCATTGTAATTGTTTACGTGTTCTAGGGCGTGACGGTGGTTCACGATATTCTCTTGACGGAAGTGCATGAAACAACACTTAATTGATAAGTGAGTATACTACTCACTTAAATGTTACAATGTGGCTTTGCTATATGTGAATTTGATGCCTTGAAGGCTTATTTGGCTATTGGAATTGATTGAGGTGAGGGTGTACTTGACCGCCCCCACCCCTTGTGATACTGTTAATGACTGTTTACCGCTTCACTGATATACTGCACTTGCTATATGAGATATTGAATTCACTTCATGAAAAACTGATTTGGTGTCGTTTGGACGAGTATCCAACGGCCTTACTGTATTACTGAGCTCAACCCCGCTGGTAGTCAATTGAATCGAGCTGACGAGGGCTTGGTCGTGAAAATTGACATGCCACGGGGACTGTACTGGGGAATCTTATAGTAATGAGACTCTTGATTCCGGTAAACTCGAATATTACCAAAAGCTACTGATTGGAGTGCGGGCCTGGTTGGGGTATGTTTGGTGGAAGGGATGGGAGTGAAGTGGGTTCTACGGTTGGTATTCTTAAACGTTGATGGAGAGTCAATGAGATTGGATCAAGAATGTAAGCATGGAAATGGGCTCTTGAGAGCCGTCCGTATCCTTTTACCGACTTGTTTTATTCTGTAATTGTGTACTTGAAATGAAAGGTTATGCTATATGCTCTTTGTTGCTTATGTGGTAGTAACTCACTGAGCTTAAACTCATTCCGTTCCATTTGTTTTCCTTACAGGAAATGACCACTTTTGGAAAAGGTTGTGTTAGTTGGTTGTCAAGTTGAGCTCATGTAAATGTCTTTTGAATAGCTCTTTGAATGAAACCCTAATGTGTATTGGGTTCAATTTCTTTTGATTGGCAAACCGAACATGTATATCCATGATGAATCGTTTTGATATGCCGCTTTGGCTTTTGGCTTGTAAATGTTACATTTCAATGTATATATGTTTGGTTGACATTTGGTTGGATTTCGGATTAACTCGTATTTCAAACGGCAAAAGAGAAAAATTTGGCTACTCTCGGCCTAGTATCCGGATTCTGATGTGGACGGTACTGTTCATCGTCGGCTTCGATTTTCGTTTTTTTTATTTTGTGATTTTGACTTGTTTACGCGCGGGGGTATGTTTCGGAACGTATTAGATCGACGTGAACTGATCTGTAGTCCTGGCGAGAGCTGGGCAGGCAATCCGCTAACCCCTTTGGTTCGCCTTAGGGGAAGGTGGGGCTGTTACAAAATATATATATAATTTTTTTTTGGACAAATTTTGATAGAGTCTCTCCTTAAAAGTGGACTAAACTCCCTGTCAGCAAACCCAAAATAGACAACATTTAATCCAAGCAATATTTCCAACAACTTGTCAGCCAATAATCACAAACCACTGCAAAAGCACAAGTCTTTAGTAAATTAAAAAACAGAAAAAGTAAAATCAAGTTAAACATCCAACATTCCACAGATTAAGAACAAAATGCAAGCAAATCCATGCACAAATAATATAGTGATCCTAATGGTGCAGCTTCAATCGTCATCTTCATCTGCAGCTCCACCCTGAGGTGGAGTAATGCTTAAATGATCCTCTATACGTGCCAAGCGAGTGTCCATCCTCTGCAACTGGAAAAATAAATTAAAACTAGTAGCACAAGACTATGGTACAAGAACTACCATTTTCCAAATTAGCCATACTCCACAAAAAACCAATAATTGCAACATCTGAGTCAATGAAAATGAGAAACCAGTAGAACTACTCCAGAATGAAATAATACCTCTATCAGACCAGCATGAGATGATCTCGAACATTGTTGTTTAATATCATAACCCGCTCACATTCAACAAGAGCAGATGCATTGATTTCCATGGTTCATGCAGTTGAATTCCAGCCCCAGCCCTTAACATGTTTAAGAGAATCCTTTTTACCATTTAATACATACATATCAGAGTTTGCAGGAAAGTGTGATGGATCCTAAAGCTAGCATGGATAGCATGAGGGTGCCAGTACTTCCAAATACAGATGCCCCTGGTAGCAGTAAAAGTAGAAATTATACTAGAAGCTACTCAGATACCGTAGACTATGATAAAACACATAGCAGTCAAATGTGTAGACATTGTAATAGCATGATAGCCCAGCAACTAGGCAGATCCTCCGCTCCATTTCTGTAAAAAAAACTGGGCAACTTCATTTAGCCTATCAGACCAAATGCTTAAGGAAAACTTTAACTAAGTCCAAACCTATAAACCAATTAAGCAATATACACATATCAACAGTCCTAACATATACTGCAATCACCACATGCGACAACTAATATCTTTGAGGCAGGGTGTTTTAGACTAAAAACTAAGAAAGCCAGGACAAAGTTTCTTTGCAGCTTCAGCATGGCTTCTTAAAAATTTTATTTTTTTGGTAGGCTAGCTAGCTACTTAGAACTTGGCATTAACTAGCTATGGTTCTTAGATTGCTGCTTTTCCTTTTTTTCTCTTTCATGTTTCTGCCATGCAATATTGATTGCTACTTTTCCTTTTTTTCTCTTTCATGTTTCTGCAATACAATATTGATCCAAGTTAATCCCATGCTGCCTCCACATGAAAGCAATAGCTAACTGCTAACCTCCAGCAAAATTAATCAAAATAAAAGAAAACGTATGTGGATGCAACCGCAACAGTCCTCAAATAGGAGACCAAATGCATCAACAAATTACACCAATGGCCACGAATAAGAGACAAATCGAAAAATTGCCAAATCAGAAAAGCAAATACAACAAGCTGAAACAACAACAACGCCCAATAAATTGCCAAATCAGAAAAGCCAATTCAATTCAGAAAAGAAAAACCAGAAAAATAAAAGAAAATCAGAAAAAAAAATAAATTCATACCCTTATGCTATTTCTAAGCAACAGAGCACAGCCACGAATTTGAAAGCCATTTGTAAAAGTGGCAAATTGGGAGGGGGGAGAGAGGCGCAGATGGCTAGCAGAGATGGGTTCCGAAGAGGGATCCAAGCTCTACAATGGCCGAGATCTTCCGACGCTTTCGACGAGAAAGCTGTGCCCAGATTTCGCCTGATGAGAACGGCTACAGCTCTACAAAAGAGAAGTGCTTCCGACGAGAAGGCCGCAAGATTCCGACAACAAAACTGTGACCAAGATTTCGCCTGACGAGAAAGATGGATGCTCAACAAAAGAGGAGAGAGTGAGGAGTGAGCTGGAAGGCTTTGTGCTCTGGCTTTGTGGTCAGATTGAGTAGCTCGTATTCACGGAATGCGAGCTTGTTTTTCTTTTTTTCATAAAAGACTGACCTCGCATTTGTGAAATGCGAAGATCACACTTTTGGAATTAACTTCAAAAATTACCCCTCTTGTAGAATAACTTTATTTTTTCATCACAACTTAAGAATTTACTCAACTTTAGTTGCAGAAAGCTTCTTCATAGGCTTTGCATGGGATTTTCCCAAAAATTGCATTTTAACCCCTCAAGTCCCCATAATGCTATTATGACCCAGAAAATTAGAAAAGTTAATCAATTTTATCCTTTTAAAATATTATTTTTCTTTAGTATGCTCTAATGTGATTTTTGGACAGAATTATTGGTGAATTTGGAATGAAATTTGGAGGTTTAATAATTTTTATAGATTTATAGTTTTGATTGGGATTTTAGTGAAATTTTTGGGTAATTTTATTGTTTAATTATAGCAAATAGACTTTCTTTTATTTTGTGAATTTTAGTATTTAATTTTGGTAGGCTTCACCTTAAGCCCTTAATTTTATTTTAAACCCGAATATTTGTAAAAATAGTGATCGACCCCTCAAACTTCTTTAATCTTTTCAATTGGGTCCTTGTTTGTTTTAATTTGTTAAATATGAGTAGTTTACTTTCCTTGGAATGCTTTGATTGATTCAATTTCGTGTTTATTTCTATTTCTCGTGATTATATGTTAATTAAAGTGATGCCTTGACCTTTTTCTTTGTTTTGGAAAGTAAACAAGGGAAACTTCATTTTATTAGGTCATCAATTCAAGGGGGGTATACTCTACACTTTATTTTGGTTTTATTTCATCCTATGTGCCCCTATGTTACTTTATGTGCGTAATTCATGCCTTTTGAATGTTTTTATTTCATTTATTTATTTAGTCACTTTAATTGTTTTGATTTAGTATATTTATTTTCATTTAATGTTTGATTATTTAAGAGGCATTTAAATGCCAAATTGTAATAGTTAGGGGGTTCAAGATATGTAATTAGATAGAATATGTAATAGTTAGGTATTTATTTTATTTATTTATTTATTTTATTCCTCCCCCCTTTAGATTGTAGTTAGGGCCCCAAATGTAATAGTTAGGGCTTTATTTACTTTATTTGTTTTGTGTGTTTTGCATGTTTGTGTGTTTACATGTTACTCGCTTTCTTAGGGTCTTGCATATAGATATCATGTTTATGTGCTATGTGCTGTATGTGATTTATGTATTTATTTGCTTTATTATGTTTTACATGATTTATTTGATTGTAATAAATGCATGACATCACCACACTAGTTCAACGGTAGTTGTGGCCTCCTTTTTCCGATTCCACACTAGTCCAACGCTAGTTGTGACCCTCCTTTCTAATATCTCACTAGTCCAATGCTAGTGAGAATTTGTACACATGGGTTAGTCCAATGCTAGACCCTTATAGACCATCCACGCACTAGATCATGTTTGTGTGGCAATTACTACATTTTCACGCATATTTTCTACTTTTTAGGGTTTCTTCATGTTTTCCATGACATTTCCCTTATATGTGTATCCCTTATTCCATTTTTCCACTATATATATATTCCTTATCCCATATTTTCCCTATATATATCCCTTATCCCTATGTGTGAGACTAGGGATGTAAGCGAGTCGAGCCACTATCGAGTAGCTCGTGTGACGGCCCCACCTCCCCCTAAGGCGTGCCCCAGGGTTCGGTGGGTCGCCTGCCCATCTCTCGCTAGGACTCACTCACTCATAGTTCAAGAAAAATAACGTTCCTCCATAGAAAAAAAATAACACATCCATTTCAACTTAATATATACATTGATGCTCAAATCCAGATACAAATCTTCTACATACCAAAATACTTCAAAGTGTTTATAATTCGAGTACAATCAACCCTAGTTGAGTGCTAGTGTGAGTACCATTTCAAAACTTCAAAACTAGACTACTTTGTACCAGTCTTACACCTCGCTCGTACCCCCTGTAAGGAAAACAAATGGTGTGGAATGAGCTAAAAGCCCAGTGAGGTTCCAAATAGCAAGTTGACCATTATTTAAAAGTGCAAGTATCACGTAGCAAAGTAATGAGCATGAAAAGTTCATAAAAGTGAGCAATAACACTTCAAGTAGCAAATATCAAAGTGAGCGAGTGTAAAGTTTTTCTTTTAAAACGAAACAATAACACGATAAGTACTAATCATTCCAAAGTATAAGGATACGGATGGCTCTCAGGAGCCAAATTTCCATTGCATCACCAGAGCTTGATCAAGTAATAGTTGACACACCGTCAACTTTCAAGTAAGTAACCAATCTAGTAGAGTACCACTTAAAATGATTCGTTTCGAAAATTAATTTCCTAGAGCGCGTTTAGTAAAAATAGTAATAGTACTTGGAGATTTTTATCCGCGTAGTAGCACAATAAGCTTGGAATATTGGAGACTTGTACTAGGGTCCTAAAATAGGTAATTTTATGAATAAATATTCAAGTGATAGTTAGTAGTGCAATCGTTATAAAAATTTTTCGAAAGTTTCGCGTTATAGCGGTAAAACTGACGGTACGCGTTTTCACACGCGCGACTTCAATTGAAGGACTTTAGACCCTTATTACGGGACAATTAAGAGTGAATAATATTTACAAGAATATATATGCCTTGGAGGTTTAGTGCACTAGTGAACCAAACGCGCGAGAAAAATCGAGTCCAAACACACCCTAAATTGCACTATTTCAAGTTGACTTTGGAGCAATTTTTCACCACACATTTAATCTTCTTTGAGAAGCCAACTTAGATCAAAATCACACTCTCTCTTCTCTCTCCTCACAGCCGGCCAAGCTCCCCTCTCTCTCTAACTCATTTGCAACAAAAATTCTGCACACTAATCTCACCCAAAACCACCCCAAATCACCTCCAAATCACACCAAACTTGGAGATCTCTTAGCAAACCACTTGGAGACTACATCTAGCTAAGGAGGAAGGGAGCTCTCACAGTTTCTTGGAGCTTCAAGAGGGCCGAAAATTCTGACCTTGCAAACCAAAGGAGTAGGTAATGATCAACCCTTGGATTCTTATCTTTTGGAGATTATATGACAAGATTAAGCTCATGCATGCACTTAGTTACTTGATTATGGTGTAAAAATGTGGTTGTGGGCTCTTGGAATTCCCACACTTGGGTTGTTGTTGCTGATGTGATGATTAATGGTGATTATATTGTTGGTTTAGTGATTATAATGATGCATTAGTGATGGGTAATTAGTGGAAACTTCATTGGGTGTAAGAGGCTAAAACTTCCGATTTTGCCCCTGCTATATTCGGCCATTTCCAGGCCAATTTTTAATGGTTTAATTGCTTGAATTGGATGTTTGTAGGATGTATTAGATGTGTGAAAAATTTCATTGAAAAATAATGAGGTTTGAATGGGCAAATGAATTTTTTTTTCGAAACCAGCAAATCTGGAAACTGATTCGCGTATGTCTCTGACCAGCAGTAGTATTTTGGCTATAACTATGTCCTCGGATGTCGAAATCATGTGCCGTCGGTGGCGTTTGAAACTAGACATTCCTAGCTTTAATTTGGTATATAATGTACGTTCTGATTCTTTGTGACCAAGTCGAACCAAATGTTTTAAGTTCGCTGTCCTGTCACTCTGTTCATCCGGAATGAAGTGTTCAGGCAGCAACTTGATGCCCGAATTTGAACCAGATGGGTGCCGAATTTGGAAATGATTTCTTCTGTGATATTTTAACTCTATGAATGCATTTTCCAACGGCGTAAGCCATGCTC